TGTGCTTACGTGTGTAGGCTCTTTCCTTCATTTTCCGGGCGCAATTTGTTATTGCTAGGATGTTTGCTTGGAAAGCTGTCGTAGTTGTACCCAGGTTTACGACTATACCGGTTGTCGACTATACCAGCGCCTGTGCCCTAAAAGGTACCGAGATGCTTAGAGTTTTGATTCGATCAGCTTTTCATCCCATGGGTTCGACTGTCTTCAATTTTCTGTGTCCCAAATTCGTCGCTGTCCTGAGGACATCGTCACCCATACGGTAAGCGCTTCTTAGGGCCTCGGCCTCAGCCTCTGAACTTTGTTCAGGGACTGTCGATATGTGGTGATTTTGGTTCTATGCCACCATATGACGGTGGAATATGTGATTATGGGTTTCACAATGGTGACGTACGTCCAGTACACCATCTTCGGTGAAATTCCCCATGTTTTTCCAAAAGTGTGTTTGCAGGTCCATAAAGCCGTAACAACAGCTTCTTATCAATGCTATGTTATGAAGAGGAACTTCAAAACATTTTAGCCAAAAGAGAGCAGGACAAAATCATGTTCGAGTTTCAGTAGGAAAAGTTAAAATTGGAATACTTAAAAAAGACTTAAGCAAATAATGCTACTTTCTATTTGTTTTAGTAATGCATCATAAGTTATTTCAATTTAATAATGAACAAAAAACGTGAATGTAAAATTTCGATTTTTGATTGAAAATTTCATAAGGAGTAGATGCCGATTTTATTTTAAAAATTATCAACTTTTCCAAAATGCCCCAAATTCTACATGATTTTAATTGAACGGAAGCGAAGAATCAAGAAGAAGAAAAATCAAAATTTTGCAATCGCGTTTTTTGCCCTTATTGGCATGTTTCCGACCTAAGAAGTTGCCCAATGGCGAACATGCAAGTTGTGGGTCGAAAATAAGGAAGATATCGTCCGTTGAAGATTGCGACCGCTCTAAAACCGTTCAAAATAGACAGAAAATGTTGATTATGTGGGAACTGGAAAGGCCCCCGTGTCTTTTTATTGGTTCATTGCATTCTTTGTCTCTTTCCGATGAAAATGATGTATCACTCGAGGTACTTTGAGAAACTTGAATTTTTATAAGGCCCTCATTTGGCTATTAATGTAGTGAAAATTTTAGCGGTGCTATGAAATTCTAGCTTTTCTCATTCCCCACACCTTTTGTTTGACACGTATTTCCGGGAAATGCCTTGTTTGGTCACATTGCCATTTAGGCGATTTTTAGACATTTTATTTTCGCTCTGGCGTGCCTCACGATAACTAAAAAAATTGAAAAAAGTAAAGCTTATCAATAGCTCAAATTATAGCTTATGCCTACGAGAATGAAGAAAAATCTTTAATACTACTCATATTGTGGTGTTGCCTATTTAGAACACTTTTTTTTTTAAGTGCCGCTTTCGGCCAGAATTGCAATTTTTACTGTAAATTTACGATTCTGACTATTTTTATCTCCCGATTTGGGCTGACGGGAATGAATAAACATTTTGCAATACTACTCAAATTGTGGTGTTTTCTATTTCGAAAACTTTTTTTCAAGCAAGACCTGCAGACGCTTCAGAACCAAGTGCAACAGACCCAAGAGGAATCATCAAAGAGATCACAAATAGAGAACAAGAAGTGGTATCTGCGTGGGCCAGTTTGCAAATGATTTGCGAGCAGCGCAGAGGAAAATTGGCCGATACTGGCGATCTGTTCAAGTTCTTCGACCTGGTGAGGACGCTGATGCAATGGATGGACAACGTGGTGCGCCAAATGAACATCAGCAAAAAGCCCCCCACATTCACCGTTTGGCCAGATATAACCATGATCCAGGAATTACCTAATCGGGGCGATCGGGGTTTAGATGGGGGGCAGTGTAAGGGAAATGGCGTGGGGTACTCACGTTGGACTAGGGGGATCGAAATTCATGGCATTTCAGTAAATGGGAGCCCCCTTTGCGCCCCATTTACTGTCAAATATGACACTGACAAACGGGAAATTTCGTCCGGGTTACCTGGAGAAAACTATATAAGCGGCGACGAGAACCACAGGGGAGTCAGTGAAGTGACGGCAGCGAGTTAGTTAAGTTATACCTTGTTGAATAAAATGTGGAAGCCGAAAAAAGAGTTTAATACCCGGCCATCCACGGTACAATATTTAACACTACACGACAATGGACAATCTCATTAGCAATAATAAATACCCGGTCGTTTGAAGATGATTTTCAAAAGTTTGTAATATATCTTTCTGCAAATTTGTGGACGATCCGCATTTTTTTGCACTTAAACTGCTTTAGTGTGTATAATTGTGTGTGTTCTTTAATTGAAAATTTAAAAGAAGGCGAAACTCGAATAGGCATTTAGTACATGAGTTAGCAGATTTGTAAAATAAACTGCACCGAACACAATAATATCACACTCAATAATTGATATGGTGGAAAAGAGTGGGAGGCGCCGTTACCGAGAAAAATCTGTTTACCGTTCTATAAAAAGTTATCACTTCAAAAATATTTTTGGTAATTCTGATATAATTTAGGCAAGCAGTGTAGCCAAGCGCCGATAATATCATCGAATGACTAGAATTGTTAGTCAAATGGAGTAACGATATAGCAGTTACATTAGTGCCTAGTCATTTCAGGGAATGACCGATTTATGTACCAGCTATGTGCTTAATCTCAAAACACAACAGATTCAAGAACTAAATAGATATTTATTCAGATATTCATAAAATACAACTGAGTTGCAATTAAAAACAAGTTGTGTCTATAGCAATAAATGGTTTTTCTAACTTATATAAATTTAACCATGGGTTGTATCATCTTCTACAAAATCGCGTGCTACGTCTCTAGTCACACACTCTACGTGACTAACTTTGTTTCGGAATTTGACTCCATAGAATTTGTGAGCATGCTCCAATAGCTCCGGTCGGAACGTCGTAGTAATAAACTGTGCATCTTTGGAGAGTTCATGGATCATATTGGCTACTGCTTTTCTGTGCTGGGCATCTAATGCTTGATCGATTTCGTCAAACAAGTAGAATGGCGCGGGATCACATTTTTGAATGGCAAAAATCAATCCCAAAGCTACCAATGATTTTTGTCCACCAGACAATTGATTCATTTCTTTCATTTCAACGTCAGCATCCGTAAACGAGATTCTTACACCAATACCTAAACAGACCATCGCTTAGGAAATTGAAAAAATCAACAATTATCTGTACCTTGAAAGATGTCAGAATTGGTGTCCTCTGGAGTAATATCTCTGCCTTCCTCACTGTCGGCAGTACGAAGCACCAATTTAGCCTTACCAGCTGGAACCAGTTTCTTAAAAACTTCTGAAAAATATCTGGCAACTTGTTTAAATGTAAACTGGATGGCTTCGACTTTCCTTTGCTCCAAAACTTCAATCAGTTCTTGTATTCTAGCGCCTCTGCAAGAAATTGATTCCTTTTTTCATACTATATTTTTTATACATTGGGATAGGTATACGTACCCTCTAACTAGTTCCTCCATTCTTTTTTGGAGCTTCTCTTTTTGATCGGAAAAACTCATAAACTGATCTAGCGCTTTTTTATTCACATGGCAGAACTTCTTCAGCTGGGTATTTGTCTTTTCCAATTCTTTAAAGAGCTGTAAATAGCGGAATAAATACTATCGAATTGTGCATTTTTTATTAACATTTCTACCGCTTTATACGACATTTTGGCAAAACTCTTGTATAAATCTTGGGTCGGTAATGCACCCAACTGATTAATTTTCTCGACACTTTCTTGAATTTTTGCTTCCAAAAGGTTTTGCTTTGAAGCGAATTTCTCCAAGTGCTTTGCATCCTCGTCGATTCTGTCTTGGGCGTCCTTCTCTTTCCTTTTGCATTCTTCAAGTTCAATTTGTTCTTGTTTCAACTGCAGTTAAATGCTTAATGTTATGCCAATACGTAGACCAAAAATTTCGAGATTACGCAATGCTGCATCCTACCTTTTTCGACATGTCCTTAATTTTTATTTCGATTGAATTCAATTCCTTATTGACCTTCTCAATTTTTTTGTCAATTTCCTCCAGTTCACTTTTGCAATTTATCAACTGACGTTTTCTGTCTTCTAATGAAATTTCCTAAAAGAACATTGCCTCAATTTTAAGAAACCTATGGGTTTAACACTTCTTTACCTGTAAAGCATGTAAGACTTCATCTTTCCTCCGAATCAGATTATTCGTCAGCAAATTTTCCAGTTTGTTCTTTTCCGCCTCCAATTTCATTCTTGTACTGAAAGCCTCTTTGTTCTCTTTTTGTAGTCTTTGAATGTCGTCATTTAATGTGTCGACCTGTTGCTGATCGGCGACCGACAGAGACGATAATAGTTCCTGATGCAACTCAGACTCCAAATTCTCTTTGGTGGTTTGCATTGCCTCCAAACTCGATTTACATTGTGCGAGGGATCGTTCTTTGGGCACACGAAACTTCTCGATGTTGGAAAGTTCTTCTTTCATTAATCGTAGGTCCACTAAAAACTCGATGATTTTTAAACGCTACACAATTTTGCCCGTTACTCATGCAATATTAACCCGGGTTCATACCTTTCACTTTATCGTAGATCACTTTAGCTTTGCTGTTCTTGGTTTCGATTTTCTGCATATCAGTGACAATTGTGTTTATGGTGGTTTCAGTTTTGCCCAGTTCAGTACGTAGTGTTTTCAGTTCCTTTTCGCACTGCTGTATTTGTGCAATTGTTTCTCCTCGATTTTTTTGCATTTCTAACCGCGATCGTGAGGTGTTGAAGTAGCCACCGGTTAGTGAGCCTTTAGATGAGACTTGGTCTCCTAATGTGTCAGAAATAAAATGAATTTGTAGTCAAGTCTAGCTGTCATAGATATCAAATCTTTTAAATCGTACCATCGAGAGTAACACAGTCAAGTCCTGTGCTTCTTGCAAGTTTTGTGGCTGCATCCAAATGCCTGCAAATTAGTGTCTTTCCGAACAGATACCTCATCGCCTGGTCGTATTTTTTTTTGTAAAGCAACTTTGAAACCATTGCAATTGCGTCCTAACAAAGCGTGTGTAACCATTATTATTGTGATAAGATAAAAATATATGTATACTTAATACTTTTTGTTAAAACTACAACTTGCAGGTCAAATTTACACAGAATGACCTACCACCTATACATACTTACAAGCAGAGTGTATACTTCTATACGATCTTACTTACTGCATCATTGGGATAATCCTGTTCTCTTACATTCAGCCTATTAAGAGGCATGAATGTTACTTCACCGGGCAATGCCTGTTTATTCATCTCCATCAGGATTCTAGTTCCGATTTTATCGTTCTCCACGACGTGATGAAACAATCTGTTCCCAGCGGTTACTTCAACGGCTATGTAAATACTCTTTTCGCATTCAAAATTTTCAATCACTGGACCATAATAACCTTGAACGATTTCCAAGTCTTTACCACCTCGCGCTAAAATGCCACAAAACATTATTGATGATCATGTAGATATCTCTCATTAATCTCACTGTAGAGAAATATAAATACATTTTTCGGTTTGACCATTTGAGAATAAGGTACATTGCAACCGATTGGAAAATACTGATTGTAGGTAAAATCAAACTTCACAATTAGCTTTTCGCGCAGCAAGTTTAAAATTTGCTAAATATCCTTATTCAAATCACAATATTTGAAAATGCGTTTCCAACGTTTCCAGAACTTACCAATAAAAGTATCTAGTACTTTTCTGATACTATCTCTGCCGTTTAAAATTGGCTTTCCAACCATAGACCGTAATTGCTGATCTGCTTTGGCGAGATCGTCTTTGAGCGACGATAGGTTGGTTTGCACATTATTTTCTTTGCGCCACAGCTCACTAGAAACACATAAAACTAAGTAAATCCTAAAAAATGACATTCGACATAACAATACTTTCTTGTGGCCTGAAACTGATCTTTATTTTTTTTCAGCTCGTAACATTGTTTATTGTAGTCATCTATGTAATTTTTTTGACGTTCCAACTCTTGTGATTGCTCTTCAATCTTCTTTTGAAGTTCGACCGTCTTTAACGCATCCCTCTTCAAATCGGCTTCCAATTTATCTTTGTGATCCTTTTTGTCTTTTATTTGTTTGTTGAGAGACTTCAACTCGCCTTGAATCCATTTATCGCGATCCTCCTTAGACTTAAAATGGCTACCCCTGCCCTGTTTGGCATATAGTTCTTTGCGTTTTTGCTCTTTTAAGGCCAATTCCCTAGTACATTCCTCTTCGCGAGCTTTCCGCTCCTCATACAGGGGTTTAATTTTTTCCAATTCGGCTTCCTTCTCTTTGATTGTTTGGGTGAGACGGGCTAATTCGTTTTCGGCTCTTTCCTTTGACTTGTTGTCGCCTGAAAATAAATTGTACGTTTTATTTAAACTTGGTATTTCAATTAATAATTCAACAGAACATATTACCTTGTAGTTCTTCGGATAAGTCTTTGATATTAAAATCTAATTTAGTCTTTTCCTTGATCAAATGCTGATGATCGTTACTAAGAATATCACGTTCCTCCTTAAACGTTGCCAGCTCTTTTTTCATTTCCTTAATTTTTTTGGAAAAGGCTTTTATCTTGTCCTGCGCTACTTTTAAATCGCCTGCCAATTTTTTCTGTTCCGATCCGGACTGATCACGATGCTTCTCTAACTAAAATATTCAAAAACACGTTTAGTATAAATGAAACGAACACAATACACATCTTATAGTGCATACACACATCAGCTAACTTCTTCTTGTTGTCATTCAGTTCAACTTCATGAATAATATACTCAAGTGCTCGTCTAATTTTGTCGTGATGTTGGTATTGTTTCAACTCTTCTTTTTCCTCCTCCAAAGTGGACAATTTTTCTTCAATTGTAGTCAAAAATTCTCGAATTTTTTCAATTTTTCCTTCGGTCTCCTTAAACAAACCTACTGATTCTGCTTTTCGTTCGTCATATACTCTGGTTCCGGCTACTTCTCGTAGCAATTTGAGACGGTGCGTATCAGGAGCAGTAGCCATTTGCAGGATCTATAAGACGATAATTTTCGATTAAATATTATTCTTTAATTCGTTGCGAGCAACTAATACTTTTCCTTGCTTGACGATGTAGTAAGGGTTAGAACTTGAAAAGCCGGCCGATTCTAAAAGATTCATCACTTCACTTCTTGGGACAATTTTTTTGTTCAAAAAGTATTGGTCCTTTTTCGCACCAATGACACGACGCAAGAAAATCTCCTCGTGTTCGATCTAAAAAACAGATTGTGGCCTGATATCGAAACAATTCACAGGAAAGCTTTACCGGAAGACGGGAATCTGAGTTGTCGAAAATAATCTCCACATATGCGGTAACAATTCTAGGTCCAGTGCCTTCATGCAGTAAAGATTGTCTTTGCTCAGGTTTTAAATGGGAATATTCATCACTAAGAACGAACTGAATAGCTAAACATGTAAATACCAGTATTACGAACAGCATGGATAACAACTCAAAAGTAATGTTTCTTACCATAGAAAAAGTTACTTTTTCCCGATCCATTTCTTCCCACAACCACGTTGTGTCTTTTGTCGAAAGGTTCTACCACAGTTTGATCCCGATAGCTTTTAAAGCCTTGTATAATGACCTATGGAAAATGTTGCAAATAACAATTTAAAGAATTGCAGTTGAAGCTGGTTTGCTTCATTTGGCAACGGCAAACCCAATTTAAGAAAAGCAAACAGCACTTATTTTCAGATTTACGTTGTTATCCGTATTAATTTTATGGACTGAGCCTTTGTGCAGCTTGATGAAAGCAAATCCAAAATAAATAATGGCTAATGTGTTATCAAAACCTTCAATATTTACTGCCTGCCTTTGAAAACTGTAAGTTTACCTGAACCCTATATTGATAGTACAAGAGGAAACAAACTTGCCTGTTTTATATACATTTCAAAATGAGCAAAAACCAATTCTAGTCATCCGTTTTCCAAAAAACAGTATTTTAACAACGGTAAATAATCCGTCCTGTCTGATCCTACCAGATACTACCTCGTATGTCACTAGCGCATTTTAGCCAACCTGACTCTTTGTTTCTGACTAACCCCCCAAACTTGTATGATTCAGATTCTGTCTTTATCTATCTTTATGACTCTGTCTTCATCTATGAAAAAAAAAACGTGCTTTTGAGATTGTTGTTTATATCAAAACTACAGTGATACATAATTCAAAACTCTTTTATAGTTCGGATACTTTTCCGTTTTGGTAAATAGAAGTTTGTTTTGATTAACGGAACCTCAAACTAACTTGCGCATGTCATTCACAGAACATACCCCCTTTATGATATTTTGGGGGATATTTTTTGATGTCATTTAAACAAGGAGTCAGGTTCGCTAAAATGCGCTTTCAGATATGTCAATATATGGCGGGCGGGCAATTTAAAAGAAGAGGTTTGCGACTGCGTGTCATTCTTTAAATACAACGTTGCCAATTAATCCCACGTCTGCAATAAAATAATCTATTGCTATTATTTTATTGAATTGCAAGCTTTAATAATCACTGTTAGTTTGTGTCTCCTAAATATTCGAAAATATTTCAAAATTTCAACGCAGGCTCGTGCCATAGACAAATAATAATTAACTCAACTGTAAATTGCATTTATCATTTTCAAAGATTCATACGTCTCGCAATCTAATTTGTCAATCACAATAGATAGTATGGGAAGCACAGATATTATTCTAACTGTAAAAACCGATGTTGATAATGAAAAGAAACCAGTGCAATATTAGGCGAAATAATGAAAATAATGCAAAAATAAAAATTATATCAACTAAATTTAATTAGGTTACCAATCACATAATAGCATAACTTTACACTATTATGACACTTTCAAATATACAGGTATTATTACCATGAAGCATATATAGATAATATATACATAATCCAGCGTTCACATCTGGCAATGCAGAAAGCAACGGTGCCCAAACAATAACTAATCACAGTTACACCAATTCTAAAATATTAATGACACCTCTACTGTTTGCTGCCAGTAGCACATTGGACTGCTGTTTCCAGCACACAGCCGAAACAAACTCATTCGAATCATCTTCGCGTCTTTCGGGATCCAATACGCCCTCGACGGTTTCAAATTTGTGCTGAAACAGTTTTTTGGTCAACCCTTTGTAATAAACATACAATGAATTGTTCTCAGAACCACAAGCGATAAAGTCACCATCGGTCGCAAGACCAACAAAGTTTTTCTCGTTTACATGTCCCACAAAAGATCGAAGACAATGCGGAGTCTCTACGTTCCACAGCTTCAACTGCGAGTCGGTGGATGCGGAGACAATATGCTCGCCATTCAGAAACTTTACATAGCTGACAGCTTTCTTGTGGCCCTTAAAGATGTGTACTGCTTCTTTCATGTTCCGCAGGTCGTAATAGTGAACGCAATGATCCGCACTTCCAAACGCCAATTGAGACGAACTTTTTGGGTTAAATTTTACGCAACACACATTGGCTTTAGCTTCAAGTGTTGCGACAGAATGCTCTTCATTCAACGAGTATAATTTTACTCTCGCGTCGTCAGATCCTAGAATACAAACAATGATCATAAATGAACATTCAGAACCAACAAGTAAAAATAACTGGTTTCGTATTTTCTGTTTACCTGATGCAACAAGCCGTGTGTCCACACAATTGAAATCTACACTCCAGCACCGCTTTTCGTGTTCCTGGTACGTTTTAGTTCTCTGACCCGACGACGCATCCCAAATCGTAACGGTTCCCTCATAGTCACTTGATGCCAATGTGCTTTTGTGATAATTATGCCAACTGATACACGAAATCTTCGACCGAGAAGTCATCTCCAGGCAGGGATAATGAATGCTTACCACATCTTTCATTACTGCACCGTAATCAAACACTTTAATGCGTTTTGTAACACCGGCGATGGCAAAGAATTCGTTATCTTTGTCAAATTCGATGCTAGAAACGATTGTAGAATTGTTAAATAAATCGTTCGAGTAATTGAGAGAAGTGAGAACACGCATTGTGTTGTAGGCTGAAAATTTGATCAGACTTTCTCGGAATTCGTCCAAAACGCTACTGGACTTCACCTTGTCCAGTGGATCTTTACCGAAAATCAAGTCTTTGGATTTCGATGAGAAGTAGCAGTCTACAAAATCATCAAAGTAAGCATGCATTCGCCTGCGTCGTACAGCTAAAGACGCGGATTGGCGCGATGGAGTTTCACACAATGGGGTTTCTTCTCTTCTACCTAAAAATCGTACTCTCTCATAAAAAAGTACTTATAAAATGTACGGTTTCAAAGGAACATTAACAAGAAAAACCTGATAAAAAACCAGTCCAGGCAAATAAATTGATACTGCACTAACCAGTAGATGAACCAATATTGTCGATAATTTCAATCATTTCTTTTTTCATTGCATTTACTGTGGACGCATCAGATTCAGAAGCCCCAGCCGTGGTTCTTTCTACATCTTCAAGCGTAGGACATTTGCTGTGAACCTCCTTAAGTTTATTGGCGACCTGAAGAATACCAGTAACTAAAACGGATGCTTGTTATTTCGGGTAAAATAACATACCTCTTCAACATCCCGTTCGATGACTGATATTTCCTTGATTATCTGCGATTGTTTCTCCTTTTTCTGTTTAAGTAAATGTTTGAGAAATTCCAACAAAAGTCGATTTTGTGAAGCATGGGATTGGGCCTCTAACAGCTGCTTTCGTTGTGTGAGAATCTCGAGCATGACATTAACGTCTGGCAGAGTTAAATTGTGTGACTCGGTCGCTACAAATTCACGCAAACCGTCGGTTCCAGAACTTAATTCTCCTGAACTGTCGCGATTCATTCCAAAGGCTTCGTAGCCATTAGTTCGCGCCTTATGCTTCTTAATCAGATCGTTTAGTAGGAAATTTGGAAATACATCGTTCGTCGTTATGGCTTTGCCGCATTTTGGACACACTTTTACAGTCTCCAGAGTTTTTCTGAGACAGTCATAGCAGTACGTATGGCCGCACTTGGTAATATGAGCCTCTTCGATTAAATTGAAGCAAATAGGGCAAGAAAAATCGACACTTCTGTCTTCATATACCGCATTCTGAGGACGTGGTCGTTTAGGAGTGCGAATAGATCCTCGGTGAGATGGAATATTGCTGCCACTTTGAGATGAAGCCGAGCTGCTGCGTCCATCACGAGCTGATGCCATTGTGTGCAGCTTTCAGCTCACAACCTATTTGAAAGTGATGCTTCTGTATGATAGCAGCCGATAACTGGAGGAGATACTAACTCGTTCGATAAGATGGATTTATGCCAGAACTTAATACTTGTACATATCATTTTTTTCTGTAATATGCTTGACAATTTCATATATGCATTGAAATAAATTACTGATCAAGTATAGCAGCACTTCTTATGTTACATGCTGGCGTGATATAATCATAATAGAAATACTTAAAAATTACAACTTACAATTCAGATTCTTCAAAATGTAGGGTATTCACTAGTTTGATTGCACATTATAATTAGATAGCATTAACGGTTGAATATGATCTAGGGCCCCAATCTCTGAAGCAGCATACATAACATAAAACTGTACCTATCTAAAATCGAAATATTTTTCGTTGAAATTTTAAAAATGTTAATTATTTTTTTTACCTGGTTATATTTGTTTAAAAGCCTCCCGAATTGATGTAAAAAGTTGAAATATAACACAATGCTTTTAAAGTTATATTTATCCATTCCTTGCTAGTTAAATAGACGCTTCTAAAATAAACTGCCAAAAAAGTCCTAATTCCAATAAGTTGGATATTTGGCAATTGTAGCACATGTATTGCTGAATACATTTCGCTTTAATTTCACATTTTTTTCAAACTGACCTAAATTACTTACAAGTACGCACACTAAGGAATAAATGAATACGATTACTTTTATATCTATTATCTACTCTCAAATGGCGATAACTATACACAAAAACTATGTCATCAAGACAGCATCCTTCCATTCGATTAATAAGACCATTTTGACATTTAAGCAGTGTTGCCAGTATTCTTGAAAGGGAGAGTTTCGATCGTTGTTGTATTTTTACGGAGAGTCTCTACATAAGATCACAGACACAGAACGTCCCTCATATTCTATGATCACAGAGTCTTTATCTATGAGAGTCTCGGTTATAAGCTCTCCGATATGTGTTCGTGGCACAGGGATGTGTCTTCTGTGTTCATCTATCACACAGAATATCCCCCCAGCATAGATAAAGCCCCCTAGAAATAGGAGGGATGGTCAGTGATTAGTAGTAGAGTAATAGTGGACGGAGTATATATGTATAGTATTTGTTTCAGTGATTTTCTATAATAACCGATTGGCAATGGTAATAATCATAGAGAATATCTTTATGAGACGAGATAGCAGTCACAGTGCTGGGAAAACATATTTATTGATTACTACCTATTTGTTTACCATAAAGTTTGCCGTTGTCAAGGCACGGATTGCTCCTTAACATGTTATAGCCTGAGTGTTAATTAGGTCAATCATTGATCTTTGGTTGAGTCCAAACCATTTTTCCATAGGTAATGCACTAACAGCGGTTTAGCCGAAAATTTGTGTTAAAATGTCTGTTACAAGCCGGTTGGTGTCCGTGGAATTAGCTGTTGGAAAAGTCACTTGTCCAGGCGTTTGGCTGTGTTCCAATGGAAAAATATCTTTGCAAATTTACATGATGGACTCCGTGATTCAAACCGATGCACATCACCCTAATTTCCCAATTCTTTTCAACGAAAAATTTAAATTTTACAAAAGATATCTAAACAAGCGCTGTCCGGCTGCGCTACAACGAAGCTTCGCCAAGGAATTTTTCAATGCAGAGTTGATCCAATGGAAAAATTGTGATGAAGGGGTTATTCTAGCAAATTTTTGCTCCACTCTGGTTGATCTGCTACATCCAAGCAATATTACAAGTATCAACAAAAAGACGGCCAATGTAGATGTACTTATGGAGCCCACCAAGCTGTTTCCAGGTACAATATTCCCCAAATTAGAACTACGCACACAGACTTCAATCGAAACGAAGTTTGAAGTCTTCAAAAAAGAAAATCCTGCTGTGCACATAAATACGAAAAAATGCAACATTCCTTTAGATTTTCGCCGTGAAAAGAAAAAAGTTTACCCAAAAAAAGTGTGTCATACAATTGCTTATAGCAAGGAGCAACAGAGGTGCCCCAAAGTCAAAACAGACAAACGGCCGATTTTTATGTATAGAAAACCTGATGACAATCTTATATTGCGAATTAATCCTAATAACGTAGGACATGAAAATGTAGTGGAAAGAAAAAATGCTACGAATTTCGTTCAAAAGATGAAACCGAAAGTAATTGACAAATGTTCTTCGTGCTACTGTTCGCACAACAGTGCTTTCTTCAGTCAAGAATGTCAAGAAACCGCAGTGAACAGTTTTATCCAACGCCTCAACAGAAACAATCAAAAGCAAAGCGAAAATATACGCCCTTGTCAGTGCTGCTTTAAAAGTAAATATAACTTGTGCCCAATTTGCTCGAAATATATTTATACTTTTTCCCGGAATTCTATAGACTTGGGAACGTCTGTAAACAACTTAACATTTGCAGCAAAGCAAAATTGCACATGTTCTAATGCTATAGCAGACAATCACTCAGAGAAGAAGGTGTGTTTTTGTTGCCCTGAAGAGAGGGCAACAAATTTAGTCCAAAAATTACACGAGAGAGTGATAAACACACTAAATGTTGGATCAGACGCAATAGAAAGTTGTTTTGCAGAGTGCACAATCTGTGAATAAATATATTTTAGCCAGTCAAAAATATTTTGTCTGTGTTTTAGCTTTGTATACCTATGTATCTAACTCTAACCAATTGAATTTGTTATTACACTAGTTGTTGCTCCCAGCATTGCTTCGTGGAGCACATAATCTAGATACAAGTTAATCCAGTTATTTACTTTGCTAAATGCACTTTCGGTTATTCTATACAAACAACAAATCGATTAACGGAGCATAATTACGGAAGATACAATGCTTGGGTCAGATTTTTTGATATTCAAAAAAATACATGGTCAATAACGCTTATATACCACGTAAAGTGTAAAGTAATATTCACAAATATCGCCTTTTTGCAGCAATATAGGCCACTACAGCCTCTCTAAAATGGTAACCAAGAATGTACTATAGCATATACCTACCTAATTTTCCAGTCGGAATAATAATTACATTGCAAACAAATTGGTTTAATATAGTTATAAATATTAGATTTTGTACACGATTAGGAATTTAAAAAAATTTCATGTTCATATTTGACAACATAATAAGCTAAATTTCCTTCCGTTTTTAGCAAACTATAAAAAAACTTAAACGAGCTTCTTGGCCTCAAAAAACTTCCTTAGGTGACGCATCTGCCATGCTCCCATTGTAATAAGTACCGCAGTTTGAGTGACTGACCACCATAAAACTCGCGAATTAGTGCTCTCACTAGTCTGACGGAATCGGTCTTCACGAAACTGTCAAATAACATAAAGGGTATTTATTAAAAAATTAACCATAATAAAATTTAAAAAAATATAAAAAAAACAATTGTTAGCCTACATTTCTATGACATTGTTGATATCAATATGTATACCATTACCGTTGGTTAGTTGGTGACCAAAAACATTTTGAAAGTGCTTCCGTGGCCGGCTCCGGCTTCACATAGTTTTACTCCTTTCTGCTGTGCCGGTGCCGGCTTCGGAATTCCGCTAACATTGTAGCCGGCACTTTATATCTTTGAACAAACTAGCCAAAGTTGGGAAGGTACCATTTAAAAATGCTATCCTCAAATGACATTTGAATACTGCATGACTACCTGATAAAAGTTTCCTCCTAATTTGAGACAACCATAAGTTTGTTTAAGTTTAATTTATCGTATATGAATTATTTTTAATGTTAGATACCTATACATAAAGTAAAAATAATAAACCAGATTCTAGAAAAACAACATAGAGACATATATAGAGAGCATATGCAGAATACCGATTACAAAATTGAAATTTGCATGGGATATATCTTGTTCTGGATTCTTAAACCAATAATTTACTTGTCGAGATATGAAGCGATGTAAAAAAGCACGTTTTACGCTATAGCTGCTCTATGGAATCAAATTAATTCTTAAGATGCTACGTCAGAATTGGCACCAGCCCAGGGTATCGAGGCATTTCAAAATTCTAATAATTGTACAGTCAACAAAAATAATGTAAAGAAATAGTTATGCTAAGTACGAGAAGCAATAAGAAAGAGCACCAATAACAAACTTACTCTTTGATAATTCTGTTCCTTGGTGATTTGATCGACCTGGTCTAGCAATTGTCTGATCCTCAGTTGCAATTCGGAAAGCTTTTCCTTCTGAACAACTTCCCCATAATTAATTGCATGCTCACCAATTTGAATGTCCAAATGAACCCTCAGTTGTGAACCACCAAACCAGGCTGAACTGTTTGAGCTCATGCATATCACATGCTCACCTGGACTATGCGACGTGAACGATATTTTACCTTCAGACGAATATATTCTGGAGAGTATTACACTGTCGTCTGGATCGCGCACATCAACATGCATTCCAATTCCCGTCGATGAAGGCATAAAACCACCCGTTCTCGGGTCATATAACTGAACTTTGTAGTGAACTAAAAACAATCAATAAGTGAAAGTGTTATGATCATAATATTATAACTTTATAAGTATTCGTTAATAAGAAGATTGAAATGCATTTCTCTACTGTATCGCCGTAACATAGTGTTTTTATAGGCACTTTCATGAAACTATAATGCTGATTGTCTCAAAACAATTAGTTACGTATGGAAAATAATTCCTACCTTTAGATACAAACGTTTAACATGTTGCGTTTAATCGATTTGAAAATATAGAAAAACACATTTTTCTGTGCCTATTTGTTATCGTATATACGTGAATATATGTGAAATTATACAACAGATAAAGCATACCAATAACGTTTGTTTCATCTGGAATCTCCTCAATAAAACACTTTCTTTCAGTTTCCCCAATATGAAAATATAGGCCCCAGGTTCCATCCAGCATTAAAATGAGACCCAAAAGGGAAAACCCCCACTTGGTGTTCAACATTTTAACGTACTTCGAAAATATTGGACAAGTACGTGTATTAATCGAAATTTCGAGGACTATTTGACCATAGATAAACACCGCATTGACCAAATCTGTAAATGATGACGTGTTGACATTCTAGGTTATATCCACAGATTACAGAGGTTCTGTAATCTGTGGTTATATCGCCACAGAATATCCCCCCCAGAAACTAGCGCCTCCATACTTAGGCCCGGTTCCACCAATAGTGATTAAATTCTTGCTTAACTAATCACAACCATTTTTTAATATCCACTTTAATCATGATTAAATTGTCATGCGTTCCACAATAAACATTTTAACTTCGGTTAGATTAGGTAGTCATCAGTCTCATCGGGTAAGATCGTATTTCCTTTGAATCAACCGTTCTGATTGGTTCAAACAACTGACAGATGAACAGAAATCATTTTTCCTCAAAAATAGTAATCACATCATAAAATATTCCCCCTTAGAATAGTAACTAAATAGGGCTAAGTTGATATGCTCTCTAGACGCGGGGCGTCGCTAGATGGGGCGATATGTTGTATCTGTCCGAGTGAAGGGATACACTGTGGTATACACAATAGGAACAAACAATTTTTAAGAACAGTTAAAATCGCAAAAAATTGTTGCAACTGATTTCGTGATAATGTATTTAATAGAATGTTATCAAAAGTTCGCCTTTAAACTCGAATAATTCGAGTATTCCAATATTCGATATGAGATAACGATTTTTCTTCTTGGAAAACGGCGAACGGAAAACGAACACTCGAATATCTAACGAATACGAATAGAAATACTCGAATATTCGTTAGATATTCGAGTATTCGAATAAACCACCAAACGAATATTCGAATATCAGATTTTTAAAAATTCCGAGCTCTACTTACTAGGTTGGTAACTGTAAGTAAGCTTGCAGCTTTCGTCCTGATAAAATGTGGAATGCAATCAGGAATAAAATATTAGATAAATGACTCATATTCGAACCGAGCTTCACGCGCGTCACCGTCAGGGGCGCTAAACGTATATTCAAAATTTATCATTACAGTTTCAATTCTAAGGGGGAATGTTCTGTGAATCACATGTCGCTTTAGCACACTGAAATAAGTTTGGGAAAACGAGCTATTGCATAAAAATTTACTTGTGCTGTGTTATCTCCCTGTTGTAGATGGGAGTTTAATTAAACTCCCACCTATGGAAGAAAATGTAAGCGATTTTAATGCCAATTCACAGTGTTCCTGGTATAGACTGGAGCGTCTTGAAACGATTTTATAGAAGTAAACATATACTGTCTTCACTTGATTTAATATTCTAGTTACCAAGCAAAACAGTATTACTAAATTCGCAGTTTTCTCTCAATCTGCAACTATTCAAAATTGTTGAATAGTGTGTAGTACAAAACCAATCAGCAACAGTGTTCATAATTTTTAACACAAGTATTTATTGAAAAATACGTTTGTTGATTTCGAAATACTGATTTTGGCGAAGAAACGTTATTCAAAGTGTAGTAGGATTATTGTCGGAAACTATTATTAAGAGAGCAGGTAGAAAAGTCTCTGTTTGGTGACTCTTGACAGTTTGGAGAAGTTCAGTTTGATTTAATAAAAAAGACAAGTTGGAAGTTGTAACGAACCAAATCTGTTTAAAATAAATTGATAAGCATTGAAAAACCCCGGAACCAGTTTCTTTGGAAATAGAACTGTTGTAGCGCAAATAGCCCTTTGTGAGCGCGACAATTATACTAACAGAACTCATTAATCAGTCTACAGTAAGACCCGTAGGAGCAAATCAGGACAACCATGTATCACCGAAGTCAATACACGGGGGTTATAAGTTGGTTGAGGAAGAATCCAATGTATATCACATTAATAAAAAGAAGACCGATAAAAAACTGAAACACTTTAATGCTCTTTAAAATTTATTTACCAAAAGTCATAGACGTTCGATGATAACATCGAACGTCTATGACTGTATATGGATGGTCAATTACAGACGCCTTCCACGTCGACCACCCTTCCTACGAGTGGAATCCGAAGGAATTGGAGTAACGTCCTCAATTCGACCGATTTTCATATTAGACCGCGCTAAGGCACGGAGGGCGCTTTGTGCTCCAGGTCCAGGAGTTTTTGTTTTATTTCCACCAGTGGCTCTCAGCTTAATGTGCAGAGCCGTGATGCCAAGTGCCTTACATTTCTCTGCCACATCCTGAAATAAAACGAAGCTTGTAACTAAATTAAATAGCATTTTCCAAAGCCTTGCTCAAGAAACATGCGTTGAATATGAATTAAAAAATCTAACAAAATACAATACCTGTACTTTAGTCCCAAAATGTTTCTCTAAGGTAAATTAACTTACTTGGGCAGCCAGCATAGCAGCGTAAGGAGAAGCTTCATCTCGGTCAGCTTTTACTTTCATTCCTCCAGTGACTCTGGATATGGTTTCTCTGCCACTCAGATCTGTGACATGTACAAATGTATCGTTGAAGCTGGCAAAAATGTGAGCTACTCCGAACACGTCTTCTCCTTCACGCACTTGAGGTCCTAACGACACTTGTACTTCTTCCTTTTGAACTTTTCCTTTACGAGGGGCCATGATTCACACTGAAACATAACCAACGTGAATTTCTTCATACTCGTCATAATTGGTGATCATCACATTGCTTTCCATTATCGCCAAAGCACATATTCCTTTGCCAGAACTACTTGCAACTAAACTTTAAATAACATTTTCAAATGCATTAAATGTCAACAAGAACTGAATCGGTCATCATCCTATTCTACTAAATGTTAAATACCTTAGAAAGTAAATTTATTCTATATATACCGGCTACTTTACAGCTTGTCTTGTGTATTTTTGTCAAAAACCAGATATTTTGCCGGCAAATAAATGAAAATTCAGAAAATTTCGTACCTGCAAAATGATTTCGTCAATGCAACTATCACGAAGAGGTCGGATCCAGCGTTGCCAGGTCCGAAAATCGGATTTCTGTAGATAAGCTCGACAGTTTTCGGTAGATATCGTAAAAAGTCGGTACTCATTTTTCTTTCCGTGCTAAGGACTCCATAAAATGGCGCTCTTTCAAAACCTGAATTTTTATGAACTTACAGCAGTACTAAAATAAATATAAGAATCAATGGGTATATTTATATTTCTTTAAACATTAGAGCACATTGTTAACAAAAATAAAATAATAAACACACAAAAAATAAACAAAATCTTTAGCATACACACTGCTAATAAAATATTAATACTAATATCAAGAACTAAACACTTTTATTTCTTTAAAAAAAAACATCTTGCTTTGCATTTTGCAAATTCCTTCATTCATTCAAGTGGTCCTTTGCTGCGCTTCGAAATCCAGTTTTTAAACTTTGGCAAATGTTTCTATTCTTCTTTATAATTTTGCGAACATTTAATTTTCTTTTTTGGTTGTTGACTGGTGCCTTTACCTCCACTATCACTAATTTCACCCATAACTAATTTTTTTTAACACAATATCGCCGCCCATCCGATTTATGGCATGGTTTATGATATACATATTATCATATTTATGATATATGGCGGTCCAGATTTATTTTATACTTGAAAACGAACTCTAAAATACGAGGTGTTCTAAAATAAAATGTCTACTTTTACCAACGTACTTTGATCATGAATGGAAATGTGTTATATTCTTTTAAGTAATTGTCGGTAATTTTTAAACTTCAATTTGTTACTTTTCGGTAGAAAGCTGCATTGTATCGGTAGTTCGGTAGATTCCTTGACAAATCGGTAGATCTACCGAAAAATCGAGAGACCTGGCATCGCTGGTTGGATCAGCGGCAGTGTCAGACTTTTAATGAAATTGACGTTTGCTGGAATCAGGGTGGCCAACTTCTCAAACGCGTATTACCGTACAAGCCATTTGAAAATTCCGCGTTTGAAGCGGTGGTCTCCATAGTGAAACAGTCCTCGTACTGCTAAAAAACATGGTACTATACAATACTACCGTAAATACTATATACTTCCCCTGGCTGGAAAATTGCCAAATTAAAATATTTCAATTGTCTATTTTTGGTTTCAGACAGGTCCAAGCAACAGTCTTTATCTATGGGACCCAGCAGGTTCCAGCATGCAAGGAGAGTTGGGGAGCGACCATAGAACGGAGCGACTCTCTCTCTTTTTTTAACTTTTTTTCAAGAATACCTTTTCGGCTGACTGTCATAAAACCCCGCCCACACAGTCGTCACAGAACATCCCCCTAGGGGGGATATTTTGTGCTAGTTGTCAAGAATAGGTACACAGAGATGTTCTGTTCTTTAAATATAAATATAGTATAAAGTTAGTTTTATATTCAAAGAGTCCAAGCTTTTTTCCAGAGGCAAGGGTTAGTCTCTCCCTTCTGTTTTATTGTGGGCGTCAGATCGAGTTTTTTTCCTAATTTCGTTTCGATTTTAAGAAAAAAAGTTAGTTTCTTAGATTTTAAGAATTTTTTAACCCGTACAATCTGTATACTGTTCAATATTTATTTTTTCTATCTTGTGATGATTCAAATAAAATGTGATGGTTATCTAGAATTACAAATTTAAGCTGAACCAAATTTAAAAGAAACCAAAGATACGAGCCAGTCTAACGCAAAAAAAAATATGTGAAATTCATTTTGGAATAGTGCACTTGATTCGTTTAGAATTAAAATTTAAAAAAACACAAGATATGTATTTATTTATAATATATATCTTTTTTTCATATTTTTGCTGCAGCGTAACATAACGACAACGCAATTGATTTTACGAAGACTACATCCAAAGAGTCTGTGATTCAAAGCTACAAAACTACAAACTAGTGGAAGCCAGACTATCCCGGTGACCGACTATCCCTGTCTCTAGCTAGCAGAGGCAAGAGAGGGTCCCAAAACATGACCAAAACTCATGATACATTGAATACATTGTATTTATTTATCCATTCATTCATCATGACCAAAACTTAGCCAAGATCTGTTGCCAAAATTCACAAATAGTGATCTGTGGATTTATTTCCTACTCAAATCAGACAAGCACAAGTCACAGATTAGTCTGTGCATTAGTGTGTCATGATTAGTCACAGAATAGTATGTAGTCTGTGAGTCTGTGTCACAGATCACAAAGGTTACTCTGTGCTCTGTGGCACAAGTTGTCTGGTCTGTGCCTAACAATCTTATTTATTTTTTATCCCACATTTTATCTTGTTTATCTTTTTGACAAAGTACTTGTGCCTTGTGTCTGATTTGATTATGCTGAAAGTGCAAAAAATAAATTTGGTACTACATAAAAATGCTCCGTTCCCCTTAGTTAAAACCTACAGTTCTTGGTCAAAATGAGCAATAATTTCAGGAAAGTTTTGAACGAATCTTGTTCACTATTGGACACCTATAAAGGAAGAGATAAGGCAAGTTATATGAAATTATACTTATGTAACACGTACTTGATAAAAGTGTATGTTCCATTACACATCAGATTTAAGTCGATGGATTTCTACAGATTATTAGGACATTATGCTATCTATCCCGTTTATTTGGAGAACTGCAATCCAACCCGGAAATCCAACAGAAATGCAATACTTTCAGTACACAAATGTCGGCCACCAGAACCACGTTAAGGCTCTTGGACGATCTACTTGTATTAAGAAGCACTTTAGATTATAAATTCGGACAGAATGTAAGTGTGTTTAGAAGTATTACGAGACATCAAACCTTGCCCCATTTAAAAAATGCTCACCTTATAGATGCTAACACTGCATTCTTTTTATGATACACGATTCGAAATTCTGGTATTAACAGAGCCTAAAGAAGAAACTATTTCCTTTTACTTTTCTTCCCATTGTTTGGTAGTAGCGCGTATTTGGGTCCTCATATTACTTATGTGCCCTTATGTCTAAAATATTCCAGTTTTCTTTTTGATAATGACTTTCTCATATTTCCGAATTTTTCGACGCAGATCCACGTTTGTGACTATATACAGGGTGTCTCACCGGGAACCACCGCGATCGATATATGGGCAAACTATTCGCCAGTTCAAAAGTCCCAACGCCCACTGGCGAATAAATTATAACCACATTAACTATATATAATTGTGATTTGTTTTGTTTAGTTCTACTCAGTTTTTGCAAGCCGTTAAACAGATAGAAACAAATTGAAGTGTGTAAGTATTGTTTTATGCTATAGGCGTAAAAACAAAGGGTAAATTCTGAGATATTAGTAAGGTACTATATTATATTAGGTATATTATTAACAATGGCGAGTAATGTGTACGTTCCGCAGCGTCCCCATCGGTATTTGAACTCGCGAATAATTAAGATAGATTTGAAAATTGGACATTATAACAGTCACGCGAAATAAGTTTCAAAATAATCTTAATTGATAATCTTTGATAATCTTATCTCATTTAGCATTAAAACAGAGGGCTCAGCTTGTGTAAGGTTGTCTATTTCAATAGTAGTGAACAACATTTTTTACTCGCATGAAAAACATAACGCGATTCATAAGTTATAATAAATAATAATAGCCAAAAATAAAACGCATCAACTTCATATTTTAAATTTGATGTTAATGACATTTTTGAAATTGTCACGTTTCGACGTTTGTAATTTTTCAAAAGCGTACTGTTGCAAGCATATACAAGTGAAGCAAAAAAAAAAAAGAGAAAAATTCAAGTGCTGCTTTCACGGTATGGAGTTTGTATAAGTTTGCAAATTTTGAATAAAATTTGCGTTATTTAAAAAATCGTGTTTTGGTTGTGGCAACATCGGCGAGCTCAGAAAAATAGACCATTAGAACGACTTTGACACTGAATTCGTACCAAAGTTACAACTTATACATTGTATTATAAGTAACTAAAAAAGCATATCTGTGTTCATAACATTTATAACATAAACAATACTTACACACTTCGATCTGTTTCTATTTCTTTAAAAGCTTGCAAAAGTTCATTAGAACATAATACAACAAATGTGACTTGTCCAATGAGTAAAATTTCTAGTTAACTTAGTTATAATTTTAGCCACCAGGGGGCGTCTGGACTTTTGAACTCGCGAATGGTATTACGTCACGATACCATGAATATAATGATACAATGAATATTACATTTAGGAATGTTTTCCGGGCTTTGAAGCCGTGGTCTATCGGAATTTCTTCCTGACGTTTCGTCCACAACTGCGGTAGACATTTTCAAAGGCGATGAGGCGACTAAGAATGATCTCAAAGCAAGGGAGATCGCTTCGCCCACTGCCTCATCGCCTTTGAAAATGTCCACCGCAGTTGTGGACGAAACGTCAGGAAGAAATTCCGATAGACCACGGTTTCAAAGCCCGGAAAACATTCCTAAATGTAATCTGACTGGCCGTGAAAGCCTTCATAGTCTGACAATGAATATTCATTGGTATACATCGTGAGACGCGAGGTGTTTCAACACCGTGACACCCAGAGCGGTTACAACATACTGTTACCCATGCTTGCTCAGAACTGATGCAGGCTTTAGCACGCTGATGTTTCAAGCATGAAATATGTTTGATTAACTGACAGGTGCTCTTATTTTTACTTTTCTTTGATTAAATGAATCTGAACGGTTAATTTCAAACCGTTTTGTTATAATTTACAACTTTTTATTATTGTTATTGAACATTAACTTTCAGGAAGCAGATAAATATATGGCAGTGATGGTGGTCATGTCCAATATTACAGATCACATATATCTTTCCCTTGAAAAGTTTTCATGGCTTGCCAAGCATAAGCTATTAACTGGAATTGATAATACAAAATGGGACACTGCCAGTTCAGCATGCTGGGTGTTCACTTCATACGTATCTATTTTAAAGTAAGTAGCAATACTTTGGGCCATACATTAAAATAGGAAATAAACTTCTAAATCCAGAAACGTCAGATTTCTTTTCATGATGGAGAGCCACAAGAGCTGCCTCGGCCAAGTTAAAAAGTAAGAAAATTGAATTAACGTTTGTTTTAATCGTGCGAAAATCATGCAAGCTTTTTAAATTGGCGGATTATTTCAGCATATCAGACGAAAAGTTGAGACTACTCAAATGGTTTCATATCTGGACCGTGTGTAGGTCCCTCCTGGACTTCACGCATGCAGTTAACACTCTACCACCAGGATTTTTATGGTCTTCAAAACTGAGTTCTCGCTTCATAAGTCTGATCGGGTCAAGCTCCTCACTGATTGGACTGTATTTAATTATTTACAAGAAATGCTTGACGTAATTACGAATAATATCGGGTTCTAGACAAGTATTTATAAAATAAAATATTGTAAAAGGGACACTGTTTTATATTTTCTGTTGATGCGAAGATGTAAATGACACTCTCCTCAGCTTGCGGTTTCCAATAATGAACACTAAAGCAGTAAATAAAAACAGACTGAAAGTGGGCACAGAAAAGTTTAATAACGCATATATAAGTAGAACAATTATTACAATGTTTAGAAGAAGTTTTAAACAAATTTATGAAACGAATGGGCTATGGAAATACTGAACAATATGTTACACGCGTTTCTTGAATTCCGGCGCTTTGTAAAGTTAGCTAACAGCGCTGTAATATAGCTATAATTTATGGCAAAATATTTTTAATAAATAATACAGTAACCACTGTAACTCTAAAAAATACAGCCTGCTACAGTGCAAGGCATGAAACGACCGATAACACCGAAAATCGAATATCAAAACACTTAAAACTAAAAAAAAATGGTTAAATCTATGAAATATCTGCTTGCTAGTAGTACGTAAATATAGAAGTCCGATAAAATCGAAATGGCAAAGCTGTGCCCAATTTTTGGGCACCGTTGTACTCTGCCAATATACCATCATAATTTTAAGAGCATTTCGGACTTCTTTTATCAGCAGACTAAGCCATAAATTTAAAACTGGAAGTCTTTTGCATGTAGATAATACGATGCCTTTCCCAAACTCTGGGTAAAATACCTTAAAATTGAGAAATATATAAAAGATTATACGTAGTACGTTAAAAGTACAGAAGTTGACGCAGCCAAGTGTAGGTTGAAAATAATGTATGTAGTCTTCTATGTTCGCTCTCTGTTAGGTTTTGAAAAGTTCAGTCAAGTTTAAATTATCGAAAACTTCTGATAATAGAAAATGTAAGCACAAACTAAACCCACAAATTCGTTTATCCCGTATTTCTAATGTATGATTTTGCAATTTGCAATCCACAAATATATCAATCAATCAATAATATAACGATTTGGTCGCAACTTTAACGTGACTGGCTAATATTCTTATGTATGTTTTAATTTCAATGTTTACTAAATAACACGGTCAATACATATTGCATTGTTGAGAGTTTGAGAAAGACCTGCTTACTGGACGATTCTCTGTACATATGTATTGTAGTAATGCTTGAAGTTGATGGATTACATATATATAGTACATACTTAATTAAGAATATTAAAGGACTAGAGATTTATGTGTATAAACCTCTTATTGGCAAACTCAGAACTCTTATCCTAAGACGGATAGAAATGTTATCAATTACAAAATAACGACTGAACGTCGAATGGACGATTTTTCGGTAACGCAACTTCGAAATTATTTAACACATAAACATACACAGGTACCAACGAACGCAAAAATCTGAATACCTAATTTCGTATCGCTTTCAGTCTGAATGCAACAAGGAATTAGCCTTCCCATTGTCGGCTGGTCTGATGCTTGGACGGATTGTGTCTGAAAACTACCGATTGGGTGTTTTTCGAGTTGCGACTCATTGGGTTGTGATGACGCAATTCGGGACCGTGCTGGTAGGACCAACAAGAGCGACAGTAGTACCGGAAGCAGGTTATGTCTCGACAGAAGTACGTGCCCTGTTGGACACTGCACAACGAGCATAGCGAATCCTCAAGGTATGGGTCTACTTGTACCTTGAGAAAACAGAAAGCAATTCATTGAAAATGCTTTGCTTATAGGTATAATGCTAAGGTGCAATTGTTCATTCATACTGGCATTTAGAAAGGAAATCGGAAAGCTTCAATAGGAACGACCAATTGCTGCTTACCTTTTTGGTAAATTTAGGAGTCTTAATTTCTATAAAGGCAGCAGAAACCGCCTTCAAATAAGAGCGGGAATTATTAAATGTCACTCTACCAGATCCAATCGGATATTTATACTTGTCAGTATCGATACCTACAAAAGCACAAAGCAGTTAAATTTTGAATATTCTGAAATCGAATACAATTTTTAAAATTCGGCTTAAAAATTTACTGAGAAGTTTGTTTTCCTATATAAAGCTCGATAATATCAGTAACTGAGTTGAAGTTAATCAATGCAATTTGGCAAGGCTTACACTATAGTTTATTAAAATTGATGCAATCATGTAAAAAAATCAATATATACTAAATTAAACTTGCAGATATGTACAATTTCGCATTCCTGTTGAACTCACCAGCATATACTACCCCGTCGAATAAATCGTTCATGATTACGGCAAGCCCTTGAGCGGTAAGCACACCATGTAGAGCGCCGACAAACACAGTCTTGCTAGGGTCCAATTTCTGAGAGGCCGATTTCGTGTAGTTGGAGTCACTGAGATACCAGGGAATAACTTGAACCTGCAATAACGAGCTTTCTTACGCTCAAGGAAAACTCCAAAGGACACTATGTATGTGGGGCCGTGAATTACTTACGTCTTTAGACTTTATTCTCCTGTACCCAAGCTTGAAGTAGAATGTGCCCCTGTTTGAAAAATTGGCAGAACAGGTTTGCAATAAAGCTTTCACAGCTTTCTCCGATTCCAGAATAATATAAGCATGTCCCTGTAAAAAACAATATCCACAATGCAAAGTTACGAAGAAAAAATCGGACCAAATAATTCGAATAATTTACATTTGTAGAGGGTTTTCTAGTTCTAAACCAACCTTTGGTTGTGAGGCTTGCCGATCTTTTCCAGGCCAATCTACCTTAACAGGTCCAAATTGCTTGAATGTTTGAACAAGCCAATCTTCTGATATATCCCAGGGAACCCCGCCTAGGAACACCTTGCTAGAATATCCGGTCGCTTTATCAGTTCTGGGCGGTAGCACACCGCTCCAGGTACAAACAGCATCGTATAACACTAAATATTTGCGAACGTAATCAGTGAATCCTTTAATTTGTTCAATTTAACCAGCTAAACATAAGTATGACATGAATGATTGACTTACGTGCAGCAGAGCGATGGAAACGTGCCGCTCGATCCAACTGACAATTTTCGGGCAATGAGTTTAAATAAGAAGACGATCCAGTCCATTTGTCGGCCAACTGAAACCATTATTATTAGTCAAAGTTACATATGCATTCACTACACATTTAAAAAGTTCGGAAAATTTACATCAATATTATTAGCTGCTTGAGGTAAAAGTGGATTGATAAAAGGAGGCTGCTGCTGCAAATACTTGAGGGCGTGAATTGCTGGCAAATTCTGCAAATTTGAAATGTCCCCATCGATGTTCGTTTTCGGTGCAGTCTCGTTTAATGTCAGAGAAGCCTACAAACAAATTGTATCGTTTGCCAGGGGCTAATTAACAAGAAGAAGTCATATATCAATTACCAGCAGATCAGATGCAGATGTTTCCAAGTTACTCCGGCCACTAGCTAGGCCAACATCGCCGGAATCCGACCGTGAATAGTTACGACCCAGAATTGGATGGTCGAATAGTGCGGGACTGTTGCTTCCACATGATTCACTACAAGTGGTTTCCAATTGACGTTGTTTGAGGCGGCGACGGAGAATTGGGCATTGGTTATCTTACCTGTAAGAGATGCTTCTAAAGTTTCGGGATAAATAAGGTGGACTGGCTGGGCTGGAGCCCGCACTGCCCAATGAAATGTTTCTCTGATAGCTCTTCATCGACTTGTTCGTGCCCCCATAGCCCGACACAGTCTCGGAAAACAGTCTGGCATCATCAAAATTGCCCTAAATAACAAAAATCCATAACTTTTGCGATTTATTTACAGCAATATCGTTAAAAAGAAAATATGGAACATTGAATGAGAAAAAAGACATTGGCAAATGTCCCAAGTGGGTAATTTTATTAAAAAGGGTCGCGTATTTTCGAACATTAATTTAGACTATTATAGTTGGTACTGGTTTCAGTTGCCAACAGAACTGCAAGTGCAACGCTATACCTCATGTCAATGTGAAAAGGCTTTAGAAAAGAAATAATGAAAAGTTTGTGTATGCAATGTCAGAAAGATTGAATGATAATAGCAGATCTTGTCGTTATTCTGCCAAGCGACCTGAAAAATTAGGAAAAGTGTCCAACTAAATTGTCAACATTTTTTGACATTTATGCAAACAATTGGAAAAATTATAATTAAACGCTTATGTATTACCTATATGATAATATACACACCTGCATATTCTGGGGACTCGCGGGAGGGGTGCAGACATTCAACGGATCGGTAGAGCCAAAGCTCAATTGACCACGGGGCGAATTCAAACCCAGTAAATCCGAAATAGACCTTGTATCGCCGCCTGCCATGAGAAAGGCTAGTTAAAATCAAGCAGACAGTTTGTGATTCTTCAATCCAACAAAATGTCGAATAGTAACGTTACGCGATCTGAAGAAAATATATCAAAAATAATGAAAGCCAAAAAGTAATCGATTACTGAGCCTTCACTGTGCGCGCACCACTGTCATATCACGAATGGTGGATAATTGTCCAGCGAATTGCTTCGGCATTAGAAATGTCGGAGGTGTTTTTATCTCAATATAAGAAAAAAACGAATACATTATTGTATTTGAAATGTTTATGTTTGAATGGTTTTTGATGCCTATTGAATGCGAAACATGCTATAAAAATTGGAATTCCTAGTATTTAAGAAAACGAGTCGACAAGTAAATAAATATTGATGGGGTTAGAATTTTGCCAATTGTTAAGTCTAAATATCGTGATTTGCCAGCTAATGATTACATATTTCTTATGTTAATACATATTTTTAGGCATTTCCACCTACATCAACTTAAATTTTCATGACATTGTTAATGAAAAACTTCTTCAAAAATTAAACAAAGGAATAAGGGTTAATGTGTCAAATGAAAATCGTGGATATTATTTCATTAAATTGATTTGATTACATTTCAATACTAATTTTCAAAAATATGTAAGAAATAGTTAATGTTTCACCTAGCTGATTCAATAAAATTCAGCCTAAAATCAAACAATCAACAAAGTGGAAATACCTATAGTCAATTAGTAAAATTCCCATTCGCAAAATTGCACATGAACAAAAAGGGTTTTCTATTAATCAAATTGCATGATAAGCAAAATATCCATAAATGTATCTTAACTCATTTTAGAAAACACTTTCAGATCAAAGCCGCCACTAAAAATTCGAATATTTCTAGAACTCATTCATACCTTGTCCGTTCCAAGTACCATTCTGATTCAAAAGTGCATTAATCGAATAATTCTGGAGCAAATCCAAACTTAGTCGGTTATTTTCGTTATCACTGGTCATTTTCTAAAAACAATTAACATTTGAATAAATACAAAAGAATCTGATAATAAAATGTCTCAAAGTTGGCCTGCTCACCTGTTCATGTGTACCTGGCAATCCTGAAACAAGCAATAACATGTCGCTGAACTACTCCAATCCGCAAAAACAAATTTAATTTCTTCAAGATTTTCTAAATATTTGGTCCTGCGTCGATGCCAAACTCCCTACCAAAGGAATCTCGCCTTACGGAAAGAACATTTTAAGGGCGGGGGTGGAGGGGGGGATGACTGCTTGTTCAAATGTAAACAACCGCCTGTACAATCTCAGTAGATGTATACCCGGCATAATTCAAGACAGTTGGAAATAGCATCACAAATAACTTCTCATACAAACTTAGATAATTCATTCATGTACTCCGTCGCATAAAGTGATTAAAAAAGAAGTATTTTTATTAATCATTTATTAAGTGCATTCACGAATCATATAAGTGCAATTACTAAATATCCATAAATCTCGATACAGACCCATCTTAATGCCTTTGTGGTAATCCATCAAATCGTTTACTTCAAGTGGACGTAGTGCCATTTATCGACTGGAAAAAATGTGATACAAATTAGTAGCCTGAACAGAAAATGCAAGAAATTGAATGTAATAGAAATGAAATTACTTATACAGAGTGGTCTTCAACTAACGTAGCAAAGTTCACTGACATTCTTTACGCAAAAATTTTGAGTTATAAGCAATTTGTCTTATCCGAAAGTTAATAGATTCCGAGGTCCAGGGTGTCACAGTGTAAATGAATTTTTCGTTTTCTTTATATTGATTATTAACCAGTTTTACTACTACAGAAAAAAGGGCTTTGTGTTTGAGGTTTTTTTTAAATAGAGAAATCCAAATTTCACATTACTGGGCTAGCCACAATAGTCTGGAGCCATTTAAAACCTCAGAACTTTTTTGGGTTTTCAAATATCACTATTTTGTTGGCAATATCTCGTTCTGTGATACTTCTTAAATAAAAAATGTGGCATGTTGAAGGTATGATATCTCTTGGTCCGAATATTGTCAATTCACATTTTGAAAGTGGACCATGAACAAAACTGCCAAAAGAATTATTTTAACTTCTACTATTACATTGAATTTATTGAAAATGCCCCGACATAACTTATTTTCGAATGAATAAATGCGCGATAGTGTTTGTGTTAGGCAGTGTATAGGCCAAGCTATAGGTATTTAAAACTGCTTTATCGTGACATAAAGACTAGTAGTGTAGTAAACCAATTGTGCGATAATATAAAAGATAATGAGCAGAAGAATAGGTATGTGTTTTCACTCGCAATTCCGGTCCCTATGTTAGTTATTAACAATTTATTGAAAAAAAAACCGAGATTTTTTGTTTATAACTTTGAAACTACTAGAGCAATCGGAATGACCCAAGCAGGAAGAAGCAGCAGCGGTATATATAGTAATAGGTGCGATCGGCCCGCACTGCTGCTTGCATCACCATTCGAGTGCGAGAGCGCGCTCGGCCGATTTTCGCAAACTTTACGACGGTTTTTAGCATGCTACCAGGCCTCTGATGGAAAAACTGAAATATACGTTTTGAAGGGCAAGATGTCGGCTTTCCAAAACTGTTTTGAAATTATAATAGGATTTATGGTAACGCATACAAGCCTGCCGGAAAAAGCAAACTTGGAATCGCGATTTTGACAAAATTAATATTCCGACAGCACCCGCCTTTGGCTCATGTAACGAACATCATAATTCCCATTATCCTATTGTTTGATCTCGTTAAGGCATTACGATTGCTCCATTGGTTTCAAAGTTATAGGCAAAAATAGCGTTTTTTTGCAATAAATTTCTAATTAACATATGGATCGGAAATGCGAGTGAAAAACACATACCTATTCATCTGCTCATTATCCTTAATATCATGGCACAATTGGTTTGCTACTAGTATTTATTATGTCAAGCAAAAATAGATAGCAAATTTTAAATGCAGAACTAAAATTTTCAAATATTTTACTGACTAATGTTTGCTAGTATTGTTTTATTGAAAATTTAATCAGAATATTTCTTTTACAGTAATCCGATTTGAGTTACCTAGTTCAAAAAATCACTGAAGACTTGGAACAAGTACATGTTTTTTGTTTAGCAAACTAATATCGGAGAACGAGATGTTGCCAACAAAAAAACGATATTTTACATTTAAAATATGTAAATGGAGCCATTGCTCCAGACTCTAGACCAAGTTTGTCATGGTAAATAATCGCACAAATATGAAGTGTAATGCTGTACCATCTGAGTTTGTCACAAAATTATTTTTAGTCAAGTGAAAATAGTCATATTTTTATCAGCTATGTAGGATTTTTCAAAGCTGTTTTATTCAAATTTTGTAGGTAGTTAGCTGAAAGCCCAAGCTAACGCCCCAGATGGCTTAAATGGAGCCATTGCTCCAGACTCTTGCAGTTAGCGCCCTCTAGGATCAAGCAAGCTAAGTAATCAGAAATTTAGATTCTAGAAAACCTTCAAACACGATTTTTTTTGGTAACAGTAAAACTGGTTAAGAATCTATTCAAAATAAACGAAAATTCTATTTACACTTTGCCACCATGTACTTCAGAACCACACTGTATATCTACAAGAAACTGTAAAAATATCATGTTTGTGGCTAAGTAGACCAACACTTTCTTTAAATCTACAATCCTGCAATCAATGAATCATTTATTCTCATAATAGCTATACAAATATGTATTTTGCATTATCTAACTTATTAAATTACATTAAATGTAAAAGTTAAAATGTATTATTGTTATCCTACTATCCTTACTATACCCTAGTCATTTATCAAATGAATCATGTAAGTAAAAGTACTTACACATGAAAATGTATTCTATAAAAATAATATTATAACATCGATCTTTTGTTCATTAGTTTGGATGAACTGAATTCCGGAATTTCATGATTAGAGATACGACTGATATATTTGAGTATTTTCCTGAATTATAGCTACAAAATATATGCGTATGTAACGACTTTGTAGTCAGAAAAACGATCATTGTTAGAAGTCAAGAAAAATGTTTTAATGATACTGGCAGATAAATTTATTTCTGTTAAGATGTAATCTATAAAATTGACGTTAAAATACACTTGAGTAAAGACAAGGCAACTAGGAATATAACTGGCATATACTAACTGGGAGACTTGATTTTACAGTCTGCACCGGCAAGTAAGTTCCCTATGCGAATTTGGCATATAATAGACTGAATCAACTGAAACAACATTATTATTACGTAAATAAAAGATGTTGGAACTTACCAATCGGTTCCAACGGCTGAGGATGCACAAATTCCGGCGTTTTTTTCACCACTTCTTCTGCTTCCGAACGCGACATTTTAAACTGACTGCCATCCAATGTCGTGTTTACACTGTCAATATTCCAACTTATTAATATATACAATTACCTATCAAAAACACTCACCAAGAAATACCTTTTGCATCTACTTCCTTGTCGATCAGCGTCTTCCAAAACGCGTGTACCTGTAATAAACAAGGGCCGAAAAGGTTCCCACTCATGTCGCTCAAATTTTCCCCGTACCTCGTCGATAATTTTGTGGGCAAAGGCAGCCGATTTTGCTTCACCATTAAACGCAAAATGGTTTTCGGGTTTTCCATCGGGTATCTTGTAGATTTTAAACCATTCAACGGATGCTTTTAGAAGTCCTGGAAAATGCTTTTCCACGTCACTGACATCGTTGATTTGGTCTGCGGATGGGTCGTTAATATCGATAGCAATCAATTTCCAATCGGTTTCTCCTAAACAAAACATTGTAGCCATTAATAACAATTTTTCGAATGCAGTACTTAGAACTCCGAAAACAAATCGTCTTAATTTCAAAAACAGGAACCGTTAATTGCTGTAAAAATTCAACTATTCATGCAATTATAAATTTTGAGAATAAAGTTATTTTTGCCGATCAGAGTGAATTGCTTTCTTTCAATACCAAATTCTTATCAATATTAAAGGTAGATTATTAAACTGAATCTAATTCAACCATAATTATAATAAAAAAATATAATACTATTTAAATTCATTAAATTAAACTAAAAGCTGTGCGACAAACACTACCCTATTTCCAAGCCGAAACGATAGATTACTAGTTCATATATTTAAGAGCCATAAAAAGTGTGGAAAAAATATAAATTTGTGTAAGTATTGATTATCCAGTTATCAGTCGTGCCGATTAACAACTACGCAACTCTAAAATAAGTAAATGAAAATAACCCTTCAAGGCCATTGAAAAAATAACATGAAAGTAATTATTATCTGAAGCTCATCAATGAATTATTAAACACGGAATAATTTGTGGTGGTGCTGGACACTATTGCTACCATCAAACATTAATAGCACAGCGATCACCTATAAATGCATACCTTCATCAATCAAAGCAATAGTGCCGAGAACCTTCACTTGAAGAACCTCTCCGCGTTTGGCGACCCGATATCCGATTTCAAGAACGTCAATAGGGTCATTGTCGCCCTTGCATCCAGTACCGTCATCTAGATGTTCTGGGTTCTCCCAGGTTTGAGGCAGGGCTCCATAGTTCCAAATATAGCCATGATGGGGAAAGCAATTGGCCACGAATCTTGGTTTTCCTTTTTTCACGTCTTGCTTGATAGGGTTCAGAACTTCTTTCATAGTAATCTGCAATGGTCACCAGTATTCATACGTCTTGCAACTTGGAGGAAAGATGGATACATTTTTTGTCTGAGAAACCATTTTTCATGTTATAGATCTATTCTGTAGATATAAAAATATGAAATTTTGTTGAAATAAAATTGAAAATGTACTGTTGTGACAAAAATCCGTGTAGGCCTATTTACCTCCATTTTAGCGTTAGTCCACCTAGGCACTTCAACCACCATATTGAAGATCTTCTTATCTGCATCTACCATCAAAGGAATGTCGTGCAAGGGTGAAACAGGACCATTTTCGTCATCTAAAAGGCAATATAAAAAGATTACTTCAATAATCTGCAACTGTTAAGGTATATGTGTAAATAGATTATTTGGACTATCTGCTTGCGAATGATACATAAAGAATAATTAGGGGTGATATTTAGAACAAATAACATTGCTTCTTTAGAAAAGAAGCTTAAATTTATACTATGTATCATGAATAAAATACAATGCAAAAGAATTTAGTAGACTGTCGGAATTTCCTTTGATGGTCGGCGGAACGATTTTGTTGCGGAAAGAATGTCCCGCAAAAATTTGTCATTTTTAAAACAGTTTACAGCAAAATCCCAACATTAAGTAAGAAATAAAAAATTATCTTTGATAAATGTAAGCTGCTAAAGCAAAGTTCAAGACTTTCTAGAGATTGAGGGCATAGGTTATGTATCAAAATGATAGACTTACTGATATAAATCCGATAATCGGTCCCGTATTGGGATCCTCGTTCTACAATAGAGTAAGGCATGGATCGACACTGTTTCAGAAATCGTCTAACACCTTTAAAAGACCATGTATCACTTTCGACTACAAAGTTTTTTGGAAAACTGTTTCCTGTAAATGCGCGTGCCACCACTCGTTTGGCAAACATTCTCAAGAACACGACACCACAGATCACAGAGGTTACTCCATAGAACAAGGCTTATACAAGRKTTACTCTGTAATCTGTGCACGACACAATGCCACCAGCAGGAGCCCCACGACGCCACCTATAATTTAGTGAGCTTACTTGGACRTATGAACTGTGCGACATAGACTGTGCGATACATTTCTGTTTATCTATAGATCTTTGAACAACAAATTTGCAAAACGTTGCATTACAATTCGATTAGGTTKGTTTTCGATTGGGATGAATGCAATGAACAGAGCATGTAATAAAGGTCAAAGAAGGTTTGGTGTTAAAAAGCGAATTAAGATATCGCCGAATGCAATAACACAGCCTACCCTCTACTGATATAGGAGTGCAATAATCATTTATTTTCTCATTAATAAATCGAATGTATTTATGATCATTCGTAGATATCCATTCATTCATGAACATGTCCTACAAGTAATGTATTCAGCTCTGGATACATTAGGTTACGTAGGTATTATATGTATACCTATCTGACGGTGTGAAGTGAAAATACCAATGTTACCATTTAAAAAATCAAGATGGCGGCAAAACTGTAAAATTTTCATATATGTAATCAGAGACAAGTCTTGTCTCTGTATGTAATACTACATCGTATACATGTACGAAAATGTATTTGATGATGTAATGACATGATCTTACAAGATTTCTAGACTCGGATCTAAATTCCTTGATTAATTGTATTACATATTTTGCTTTAAAAACTTTTCCGAAGGGTAATAGGGAAGTAGTAATTTGGGCGAGACACTTAAAAATGTCCCTGTACATAGTAAGTTAGTAGGTATGTAAAATATATTAACATACTCCGTACTGGTAGCTAGAAAACAAGTCAATTTCGAAGCTTTTCGATTGCATGCTATTTGCGTTATATTCGTATTTTAATACTGCAGGTATAACGTTATTTGTTTTATATTACTAATAATTACAAACATAAAAAACCAACAATGTCTATCACTTTAAATTTGCAGTGCTCTTACTATCTGGCCTCATTCTGTTTCACTTCTTGAAGTAAATGTAAAACCCTCTGATACAGAAAAGAATACCTAAAATCCAATCACGATGTACTAATAGATCATAAGTCGTGTGACGTTCCAGTAGCAATGTCAGCAATAAACAACTGACCTGTTACCAGGCTTGCAAATACCCAAATGATCCTGAGGTATTTCGTAGTACTCTCCCACTCCTGGATTTCCAGATTTGGGCTCAACAAGCAAAAAGTTGAATTTTAGGGCAGTTACCACTGTTGATTTTGTTTCAACGAACGTAACCACTTTCATTGGGACGACTCGCACAATGTTCAAAAATTCATCGTGGATAACTTTTAGTTGCGGCGAATCTGAAGAATTATTTATTAGTTAATGTAATTGCACTTTGCCATAGGTTTTAATGAGTACTTTCTTTCAGTTCTTGCACTTCTACAGATGGCCATAAGACCAGTGAAACAGCGTTGCTCAAATTGGCCACTTTAGAGCCACTATGTGGGGTACTGTAAAATACAACTCCCTTGGTATTCAAACAGATACTTTTTAGCTTGGGATCATTGCTGCTGTATGCTGCAAACTGCCGGCTACCTAACACTTGAAAATATGTTCGATGTAGTTACCTTTGCACAAAATATTCTTTACAATGAGTCCACCCATGGAGTGCGTTATCCAAACTATCGGTCTCTTGCCCACTTCGCTTTGCACCAGCTTTTCAACCATTAGGTCACTTCTTTCATTCAAAGTCAACTTTTCCTTTCGTGAGGGGCATAAAGGTGCCCACATAGACAAACTTGTATTGTAGTTAATTCCTATTACTCTTATATTCTTGCAATCTTGTGCTTAAACAAACAGCAACAAAACAAAACATTGTTGCCAATAAAACATTTTTTTATGTTAATACCCAGCCAGTCTTTGGGCCAGCAATACGTGTAAGATCCGTCTTCTACGGGCGCGTTATCAAAATCGAACTTTTCTCCTGGGCAAGTAAAAGGACCTGAACAGTTATCACTGGAGTTCAGTGGAATGTCGTTCCACACGATTTCATATTCGTTTGTCAGAATTTTGTCGGTGATGTCTTGGAAATACTGTTTGGTAGTTCTGCGAGCTTCAGAATCGGCGGTTTCACTGCCTAGAATAACAAAAATATATGTAATATATGAAGACAGTGGTAAATTTTGATCTGACGTATCGTAATCTTCAAGTTCTTCTAAATTGAATTAACGTGTTTTTGTTATTATTATATTATATCAATTAATTGAGTTTGTATTTTTATGCCAGCTTTGTCATTTATGAAAAGCTAAACCGAGGTGGAACGTAATATTTACACAACAACTATTTAGTCATCTACTTTTATGTGTCGTCGACTGTACATTACTTCTAGAATTCCATATGGGAGGTAGTTTTTCTATTTAATTGAATTTTTCTTACCAATGAATCCTGCAGCAACTGGATTAGTTTGTCTTTGGCGCCATGTGAAAAAGACACCACCTAATAATCCGTGAACAAAAATTACATCGACCGCTTGGTCGAATTTGGTCCGGTTCAGTGGGTGCAACACGTACAATTGACTAGGATATCGCGCATCATTGTCATCATCCAAGTTGGCCAAAGCTCTGGCCGCTGGGATAGATACTCTAATGTCCTTGTGGTGGGCCCAGTTGGAAAGCACTCCAATCCATCCTTAAGAATGTTGTTGGTATTGCCTGTAAGTACGCATTACCAAACTGCGACCTCAACTCACCAGATTTGCAAAAGGGTTCCAACAAGTGTCGATTGTAGCTCATGTACGACAGAATTTGGCACAATTTTATTGTTACATTTATATCCCCTGAATACCTTTTGTATATTTCCATAAGTAAGGGCAACCCATTCAAATCGGCAATGTCCGTTGAATATCGCTCTACATTGCAGTGATGCAATAGTGATTCCAGGCACATTGGTAGAATCTCTTTCTCTGTTTGAATAAATTTACTTAACTCCAACGAGGATGAGTCATGGTCCACTATGTGACCACTATCCTAAAGAAAAGTGAAAACTCATGTATTACGCCTCGATCTAAAACGAGCGTAAATTAACGCACGTGATCATATACAAACGCTTTGGAGAGAAAATAGCCCATACAGGGATGTTGTGACTTTTCAAACACTTCAATTAAAAACTCTCGCATTGCGTTAATTAGTTCGTCTTTTTTGTAGTTGTGGTATCTGAAAGGGGGTTCCAGAAAAAAACGGCGGTCTGCATTAGTTCGCGCCAGTGCCACTGCGGTCCGAGGATCAATCATGTTAGCTATCAAGGCAAAATGCCAGCTATCCAGATAATTAATGTTTGCTAAATTGTTTACTGCCTTTGTTCTAAAATAGAAATTTGGCTTAAAAATATCAACTCAGGATTGGCAAGCCAGTTTGAGATAGAGGTATCTACCTGAAATATTTATTACTGTCTTTGGACAGAGCCAACAATCTTCTGGCATAGCCAAATTTTAAATTATTTAACGCCCACTGTATGAGTCCAGTCTTTCTATATTCCAAATATGGTTCAAACTCGATAATTTCCTCCTCCAGTGTCTCCTCTTTGGCTACGTAATGATCCATAAACTGCAACACGGAGTCGTCCAGTGCATTTTCCAAAATGTCCCTAGTTTTGTTCACTTGATAATACACCCAAGCAGTGCTGGAATATTTGTAAAATAAGCAGCTGTAATGTAAGAGTTGTACTGTTCACCTGGACCCAACAAACGCTATAGTAAAATACTTCAATATTGCTTTGTTTTCTTTCCAAAACAAATAGGGCAACATCACGAATACCGTGGTCACGGCTTCGATTCAACTTGTGTGAGCAAGAATATCCTCCAAATTTGTAAGTTTACATACATACAAGTGTATTTTGCTATATAACGTAACTTTTCGTTCCTGACTGAAAACGTCTTGAATGCTACCACCATAAACATAAATATGCTAAAATAAGGTCGTTTAAGATTTTCATAATTTTGAACTTTCACTTGAAAATCTTTTTTAAGAAATTAACTTCTATTAAACTATTATAGACGAAAGGCACAACCGGCTCTTCCAGTTATCTCGAAATTTGACAATTTTGCAGCTACACTGCACAGAACATACCCCCAAGGAGATATTTTGTGCAACACTGCTAAATATTGACCTTGGACTTTTCACGAATTCAACTACAATTACAAATATAACAATATGGGGGCGCTGCGAAAAGAATCAGCTGGTTGAACTAGCGCATATATCCTAGCTGACTCCTTGCTTAAATGACATGCGCAAGTCAATTTGAGGTTACATTAATCAAAACAAACTTCTATTTACCAGAACGGATATGTATTAGGTATTAGGGCTCGGAATCAAAATCGAACAATTCGAGTATTCGAATATTCAAGAAGCGAATAATTATGTCTAGTTATAACTCGAAAATTCGAATACTGGAATACACCAACATTATCAAACTCACTAGGTGCAAATATCTTTATATGCACTTTGTATACTTTTATAAAATAAGTTATTCATATTCTACAAGCATTTAAACAAATAGTTATATATTTACAAGCAAATGAAAATAATTATTTACCCTTCAGCAAATGAATATAAAAATACGTGTTTGTGTTCTGGTGACTCGCGACATCAACTTTTGCGCGGTGTTACAATTAGTGTGCCGACAAAGGCACTTTTTTATCCGTTGCGGCTTATTTAGAGTTTGATTCCGAGCCCTAATCATAGTACAAGGCTTATGGCACAGAACATACCCGTTTTGGTAAATAGAAGTTTGTTTTGATTAACGTAACCTCAAACTGACTGGCGCATGTCATTTAAGCAAGGAGCCAGTTACGATATATGCGCTAGTGCTGGTTGACGGCTATAATTTGTTGTCCAATTTGTAGGTTACCTAATAGATGTTCACATAAAAGATGTTTAAATTTTATAATAAAATGGTACTGCAACAGTCCATAGCGGTTACGCTAAATCGGCTGACTCCTTTCAATTGGCACGCCGCTGCATTTGCATCAGCCGGTATTGCTGAGGCGAAGAACAATACCGAAGAGGAGAAACAGGCGCAGGCTAGGAGGCCCTCCGTAGAAAAAGGCAGCTCTATCGTAAAAACTGTATTTGCTTCCATACAGTTGCATGATAGTAGTGACGATATACAAACGCCTTTTACCGATTCAAAATTGCTTAAAGCGCAAACTGTAAACGAATTGTTAACAATTACAGACGGGACTGGAATATCGCGAAAACATGCTCTTCAGGTATGGTGTTGATTGATTTATGCAGAGTTTCATTTCATCATTCTTAATTGTCTGTTGGGTTTTATCGGCAGGTGGTATCAATTCTGTCCACGTGGACCTCAAGCGGAAAAATTCAACTGAGCGAGTTTGATAGCGACCCTCGATTTCTCAAGCTGTGTAAAGTACTGACCAGAGGGACGACAGGAAGCAAATCCAATAAACAAGTGGCGGCATTATCCAAGCATGATGATTTATCCACAGTGCTCAGTGTTGCTGCTGATGAGGAAGCTGCCAAGCTCGTTGGCAGCATTACATTGTCACAAATGATCAAAGTACTGAAACATTGATAGCATATATAGGCATTTGTTATTTACTGTTTTCAGGTACTCACAACTCTTTCGCTGAGAAAACGACGATCTGTTTTGTTACTGAGAACCCTGGCTTACAATATTGCTGGCAGCTCTGAACAGATGAACATTAAACAATGTGCAGACCTATTTTATAGCATTGCGACATTGAATTTTTACGATGAGAACTTATTTGAAAAGGCTGCAGATAATGTCATTTCTATTCTGCAGCAAGATATTGTTAAGAAAAGCGCAGTTGTTGGGTCAATTTTAACAAGTATGGGCCTACTGAAGTATAGAAATCCTGGTGGGTAATGGATTAAGGCTTATAGATGTTAATGGTAATGTTGAATTTCAGTTTTGCTTGATGCAATCAGTCACTGGATCATAAAGAACACTGCTGTATGCAGACCTCAGGATATTTTTAGCTTGTTTATGAGCCTCGGTGTCTTAAACTACGTTCCTTCTAACTCTGACCACCTTTTTAAAGTAAACCGCATATATTTTACGTAATTTAGTTTTGAAATGCATGGCTTGTAGGTGTTAGTGCCGCAACTTACCCAGGAAGAGGCAGGAAAACCTGCAATTTGGCTGGAAGTTGTTTGGTCATTAATTCTTCTAAATCAAGCCAGTCATGCACATGTTATGTCAGTATTAAACGACACATTTATCGACAAATTGGCAGGTAAGTTAATATATATAGTATAATTCCGATATGTTTTTGAAAATAATTTAGTGTAACTAAATTAACGTCAATTCTTCTAGAAAAGCCATCTATAAGCACTTCTGCTATTTTGAAGTTACTCAACATCGATGGGGCAGCCCACTACTTATTGACGGATTACTCTGGTCCGAAAATAGCACAAAATCACAATATTCGCCAGACCTGTCTGCAAATATCGAGGGAAAAGGCGCAAATAACCAATTCAGTCATTGACGCTCTGAAAAATCTGATCCCAGAAAGTTACCTCAGAAATAGCGTAAACACCGGATTGGGTTTTTACATTGGTATATGCTGCTTGATTATGAAGGTTTACACTAAATAATCAGAATCGCTTTTTAGACGCAGAATGTGTGCTGGATAAAAATTGCAATCCATTACCGCTAAATGAAACAATCGGCGCCGACCGTATTAGGCACGTATTTTGATTTTAAAATGTTCTGTATATCTGACTATAGATAACGAAAAATATTGTAGAGTTGCCGTTTTGACATACGATTATCACGACGTCTGCAAGGGAAAAATGGAGCTGACAGGAATCACTGCGTTCCACGAGAGGCTTCTTGAAGCGATGGGTTACCAAATTGTTTCCATTCCGTTCACGGATTTTAAAGTAACCGAGAAAATAGTCAAAAAAGTTCAATATTTAGAAAACCGGCTCAAGCAGGCGGTGCAGCAATAGTTAGTTGTATATAAAACGTTAATATTTGTATTTGAATTGTATGTAATTTATTGGGATTACCTCCATCGATTCTATATTTTAGTTAATGCAAAGTACCGAGTAATTAAAATTTAAATCAATCATGTTTCTACCAGGCCATTCAATAGTTGCTAATGGGACGTTAGATGGAAAAGCAAAGAGTTAGCTGATTTCACTGTTGTGATCTAAAGCTTTTCCTATTGCGTACGGCTGTAGTAAAGGACATGTTTTCTTTGGGGTCGCCTTCAGTTATTTGCTGCAGAATTAGGTTTTTCTTCATTACTTAACATTTGCTGCATTCTGAGGTTCTCACGGTTTACTAGGCTCCATAGTCTGACCGTCCGACTGGAGGTCATTGCGAGTGATGGGCCAATAAATATAAACCAAATAATCTAGTAGATATTTCCATACGACAAAGAGATGTTTTGAAAATAGTATTTATTAATATTATTGACCTGTTAAACTTACCATTCTACATTTAAAATTTGAGTAAAAAACCTATATATTTTCGAAATACTGGCACTATCTGGCTGGATATTTATTTGGAATAAATGATACAAGACAAGTAAATTAAAATTTGTCTATTATATTGAAAAATTATAAACAAAACTCCAACTTTCGCGTTTGCATTTTTGATTTTTACCGCTTACATAGCTACGCAAATTAGTTTATTATTAATAAGTAAACCGACAATCGGAATGTGGAAGCAAGTGTTTAAAGACGATCGATGGTGGAATGTGGAATGGAGTAAAATCCCAGATTAGAAGAGTAGGTACTCTCCTACTGTCTGGTAAAATAGAATAAGTTTCACTACATGCAAGCAACCACTTATACATAGTCAAAACGTGAACTCTCTGGTTATGTCTAGTTGGCATTTAACAACAAAATAAAACAAAACACGGGTAACCACTAAACAAATTCTTCTATTTGACAGTTTTATTTTAGGAATCCAAATTTCAACGTAAAATGTTATTTTAATATCATCAAGAACCTACCAAAGATGTCCTTAACAGGCTGTTTTAAGAGACTACATGTAGTTAGGGGTGCGTTGCCTCGAGTATGGCCCACCCGTTCATTTTGCTCAGATGAGTGTGCTGACGAAAAGGTAAGGTAACTACATGAATGTATTTACGTGTACACTCCTTTACCGCAAAGAGGAGACAAATAACGTATGTTTTATTCCAGAAAGGTTTAATTCTGGGAGTATATGAAGGCGACAACGAAGAACCAATTTTTACAAAAGCGGCAGCAAAATTTAATGATCATTTGGGAGGAAAATTGTTGGAACTGATGAAAACGTAAGCTATAGATAGTATTTTGCTATTTTTTTTGCTAGGGTAAGTCGCAGCTATTAGTCAAGTAGTAATTCAAAATGCAATTGCAACATTCAAGATAATTATATACAGGCAACATTTATTGCAGTATTTAAGCAAAATTTAGCAAAATTAAAAAAAAAACTTTAAATGGTAATAATATTTCAGTGGAGGATGTGAACTAAAAAAAGGCCACGGAAAGACTTTCAACAACATAGACAAAGAGTTTTGGTCCGTTGCCTTAGTCGGTCTCGGAAGGGAGAAATTAGGATACTGTGAAATGGAAGCGATCGATGAAAGTTTGGAAGCAGTTCGTGAAGCAGCTGGAAGTGGTGCACAGCTCTTAAAAAAAGAATGCGTTGGAAGAATACTAATTGAAGGCCTGGGCCATCCAGAACAGGCAGCTGAAGGAAGCGCCTTAGCACTCTGGCGCTACCAGGAAAACAGGTGCGTTTTATTTTATCCGTTTTTAGTTGAAAATTTTACTTTACTTTGTGTTATTAATTTTAGGTCGAGACAGAACTGGAGGCCTATTCCGACTCTGGAATTGTTCGACGACAGTGACGCCGAAAGTTTTCAGCGCGGTCTTTTTAAAGCCGAATCGCAAAATTTGGCCCGACGACTTTCCGACACACCCGCCAACCAAATGACTCCATTGCACTTCGCCCAAGAAACGGTCAATGAGTTGTGTCCATGTGGAATTAAAGTCATGGTCCACGACAAGGATTGGGTCGAAAACAAAAAGATGAACGCCTTCCTGACGGTGAATAAACGGGCGTGCGTTTTAATAGTATATTTATTCGAATTGGAACTTAGGTGGCGCGTGGCTCATGTGAGCCGCCTGTTGTTGTGGAAATCTCTTATTGTGGTGCCCATCAAGACCAAAAGCCCATTTTGATGGTGGGCAAGGGCATCACTTTTGACAGTGGCGGTTTGTGCTTGAAAAAATGCGATGGTATGGATCGATATCGAGCAGATATGGTAGGAGCAGCTGCTATAATTGCAGCAATCCGAGCAGCTTCTGCATTGAGTTTGCCAGTGAACATTGAGGCTATTATTCCTTTGTGCGAAAATATGCCTAGTGGTGAGGAAAACTTGCGCTCATTTGGCACAACTAAGTTCTGTCTCATAATTAGCACATTAAGAGAATAATTTTTCCATATCTTTTTTATGAATCAGGATTACGTTCATATTTATTACCTGCCAGGTAATTTCAGGTATGTCAATGAAGTGCGGTGACGTAGTGATGGGACTGAATGGCAAATCGATAATGATCACCGACACTGATAATGAGGGCCGCTTGATCCTAGCTGACGCTTTAGTGTATGGCCAGAACGCATATCACCCAAGACTGATCATTGACGTTGCCAGCCTCACTCCTGGAGTGCGAGCGGCATTAGGTTCCGCAGCCAGCGGTGTTTTTTGCAACTCTCAGACAATGTGGTCTCAGGTACATGCCCCCTACTTCTGTTGCAGGCAGATATAGACATTTTTTAATTAAATTTCCGTCGTTTCTCAGGTACGAAAAGCAGGAGTGATAACTGGCGACAGAGTATGGCGACTTCCACTGTGGAAATACTTTACAAAAAAAGTTACTAGATTCCGCTCTCACGACGTAAACAATAAAGGTCTTGGTCACGGATCATCATGCATTGGGGCTGCGTTCTTGAATGAGTTCATTGACTGCGTTGACTGGATCCATTTTGATGTCACGGGAGTGGGTTTCAAAAGTGAGGAAAAGAATTATTCGTACCTGACTAAAGGTCGCATGACAGGGAGACCTACGCGAACGCTAATACAACTGTTATATCAACTGTCTTGTCCATCGGAAGGACAGCGAAAATTGGAATAGGATAACCTGATGTACAAGTTGTTTGAAACTGTTTTCTGTTAAACCTATCATAAAATCGCGCTCTTTATTGTTACATTGAAATTCGCCTTTTGTCGCTATGTTAAATTTAATAGTGGAAATACAGGAAATCTTGCAGATTTCTCTGCGGATTTTCGCTTACAAAGTTTTCCCGGCCGGGTTTGGTTTTTGGGTTTTACAGACTAATACTTTTAAAAAGCAGACTGGTCATCTGCAGCAGTTCCGAATTTGTTTTTTTATTGAAATGCCGCGTATAGTAAATTATGGAATATAAAATATATAAAACTTAAATTGTAAAATCAAAGTCCTGCAAGAAATTTTCTGATAGGTGATGTCTTAAGTGCCTCTAGTTTTCTGTACACGACTTGCATTAACACATTTATTATTTGTATCTATAAAAATGGCGAAAACTTTAGCTCATGTAATCCGGGTCCAATGTAACAGCAGTATTAGAGAATTTTAGGTCACTCTTTTTTTGTATTTTATTACAGTTGTGTTTAATGTGAAGATATACAAAAATATATATTTTTATTAAGTAATAAAAGCGCATATTACATTTTTTATAAATAATGAAGTTGGAATGTTTGAAAAACACGCATGCATTTCAAATATATTTTAAGTATACATAGAGGTTGTCCCGGAATATGTGGGCATGCTTTCGCATTTGTAGAGGAGACGTTTAAAAAACATAACAAGTTTCTTTAAAAAAAAATTCTAGGGATCCCCCCTACGGAGATACAGGCCTCTAAAGGAGCCACCTGAGAATCGATTTAAAAAAAATAACTGAATACTTCATGCAATTTAATTATTTATTCATACAATGAACAATACATCATTGCTCTTAAAAAGGACCCAAAAATGGCACTTAGATTCATTCATGGATAAAAAGACATAACTATTATTATGCTCCACCTAGTCCATCCCTGGAGAACCGAAATGCTAAAAATGTTTCATGGGTCTTTTCTAAGAGCGATGATGTACTGTTCATTGTATAAAAAAATAATTAAATTGCATGAAGTATTCTAAAATTTATTTAAAAAAAAATCGACTCAGGTGGCTCCTTTAGAGGCCCGTATCTTCGTAGGGGGGGGGCTCGACATTTTTTATAGAAACTTGTTATGTTTTTTAACGTTCCCTGTACAAATCCGAGAACACGTCCACATATTCCGGGACACCCTGTATATCAGTATGCGTGTGTGTTTGTGTAAGTGACAATGAAAAGCAGCATATAACGGCCCAGTTTATAATAATGTAACAAGCGGCCTAAATGTGACTTTTCAATTCCTTGCTTTCGAATGTATCAGAAATGGCCTGCAATGGGAAAGTCCGGGCGTTTTAACTTGAAAATAATTTACATTCATAAAAATTACATAAGCTAATTTGTTAATATTTATTTAATTATAGACCATCATATAATATAATATAATAAATTAGACACTGCTTAAGCAATATGTTTTCATTACTTGCCAGTTATGAAAAGTAGTAACACATAAGGACATTATACATTTTTTCGAATAATAACGACTTTACTTGGATTAAATTCCAAATCAAAATTAATTTCTGGGTTTAATGCCCGGTTTCCGAACTCCAACATATCGGTTACATAAG